TGCATTTTTTTTTTTTATTTAATTGCAAAACATAAAATAAAAATTACATATTGAAATAATTTTATTATGATTAAATCTATGTTGTATGCCATTCAAAATAAATAATTGCCTTTTTTTATCTAAATAAAACAAATTACTAATTTGGTTTTATAATAATCATAAGATTGTGTGTAAATGAACACCTCTTTGCATATTTTGCACGTCTATTTTTACTGAGGGCAGATCAACTTTCTGGCAATATACATGTGATGGCATACAAAGATCCATTTTCCTTTCTGTGTGAAATGCACAAAAATATTAGCTAACAATTTATTTTACGGTGACCTTGTTACATGTACTTACTTTTATAATAACAAAAAAAATCATCCATAATTGCATGCAAGTAAGCCAAACCTTAATCCTAACCCTAACCATATAATAAGCACATGTAGTTAATTAATATTACTCAGTACTTAAATGTATAATTACACTAAAAATAACATGTAACCAAATATTAAAGAATAAATTAACAAAAAAGAAAAAACAGAGTATATAAGTTATAAGAAGAGTATTTATACTTTTCTAATTAAATTATTAATCTAAATGATGTATCTAAATCACTTTAATTATTTCACTCATTCAAGGTCCATCCATGCAATGCTAAATTTCTCTAAATCTGTTCCAACGAAAAAACAACCTTATCTACATCTTGAATGGCCTGAGGGCAAGTAAATTATCAGCAAAATTAAATTTTTGGGTGAACTATTCCTTTAATAACAACAAGAGCAGTGCTTCACAAACCTGTCCTACAGACCCCCCAGCACTGCACATTTTGTATGTCTCCCCCATCAAACACACCTGATTGAACTCTTCAGCTCATTAGCAGAGACTACAAGACCTGAAATGGGTGTAACCAATCAGGGAGACATACAAAATGTGCTGTTTTGGGGGTCCCTAGGACAGGTTTGAGAAACACTGAAATAGAGCCACAGCAGTGAATTCTTCATTCTGCAGTTACGCTGTTGACCTGATGTAGAGTGGTGGTGCGCTGGGAAGAGAGGCTTGGCTTGAGCAGCTTTTTTCTCTCTGAGGTGCTCTGAGGAGTGGGTGTATTCAGGGCTCTGCTCTGAGGTGTAGGAGGAACCACCTCGATGGACACACCAGCCTCCACATGCTGGTCAGCACTGCCATCAAGTTCAACCAGCTCCGACCAAACTGGAAAAACAAACAAAACAACGATAGGTCATAATTCAGTACAGGGACTACAGCTTTACAATCAAAAATTAGATTTGAGCAAATAACCTTCCAATATATCAGCTTCGCCAGATGCTGAAAAAGTCGACTAATGGCTAAAATGAATGACTACTAGTTGACTAGAAAAATTGTTTTTTTAAATTGCTGCTGCTGTTGGGTTATTGCTGTAGTTGTAGATTATTGCTGCTGCAAGCAATTTCAGGAACTTGCTACTGCCAATGCATACGGCGATACAGTGCCGTGAGTATTTAAGACATACTGCTGCTGCACAAATGGCATATAAAATAACCCGTAGCAGATCTATACAGGTGGAGCTGGGGAAGGTGAAGGGTTTCATGCAGGAATTTCAAGTGAATGCTAGCCAGCCATATAAATGCAAGGCAGTAAGCTCATTGGCTCCATATGCAGCATGAACCAATCAGCTTGTGCCAAGTCGTTTAACTCTGAATATCATCAGTTACGTTAACAACCCGTCAGCCTGCGCCATCTAGAGTTTCATGACTACAGTTTAATGTATCTCAGAAGGGACATGGATGCATTTAACCTACAGTTACAGATGGATAAATAATGTTTTGTTTTTAACATAAAACTTTGAATACTGATATTTTAAATTATTTTAAAACATGAAAAAAATAAGATTTCAAAATGTGAAACGTATTCAGGGCTCTGCTCTGAGGTGTAGGAGGAACCACCTCGATGGACACACCAGCCTCCACATGCTGGTCAGCACTGCCATCAAGTTCAACCAGCTCCGACCAAACTGGAAAAACAAACAAAACAACGATAGGTCATAATTCAGTAGAGGGACTACAGCTTTACAATCAAAAATTAGATTTGAGCAAATAACCTTCCAATATATCAGCTTCGCCAGATGCTGAAAAAGTCGACTAATGGCTAAAATGAATGACTACTAGTTGACTAGAAAAATTGTTTTTTTTAAATTGCTGCTGCTGTTGGGTTATTGCTGTAGTTGTAGATTATTGCTGCTGCAAGCAATTACAGGAACTTGCTACTGCCAATGCATACGGCGATACGGTGCCGTGAGTATTTAAGACATACTGCTGCTGCACAAATGGCATATAAAATAACCCGTAGCAGATCTATACAGGTGGAGCTGGGGAAGGTGAAGGGTTTCATGCAGGAATTTCAAGTGAATGCTAGCCAGCCATATAAATGCAAGGCAGTAAGCTCATTGGCTCCATATGCAGCATGAACCAATCAGCTTGTGCCAAGTCGTTTAACTCTGAATATCATCAGTTACGTTAACAACCCGTCAGCCTGCGCCATCTAGAGTTTCATGACTACAGTTTAATGTATCTCAGAAGGGACATGGATGCATTTAACCTACAGTTACAGATGGATAAATAATGTTTTGTTTTTAACATAAAACTTTGAATACTGATATTTTAAATTATTTTAAAACAAGAAAAAAATAAGATTTCAAAATGTGAAATTAAAGCCACCAGTAGGTGACAGCAAGTGACTGATAATGAGTGAGTCATTGAGATTCAACAGATTCGTTCAAATGGCTAATTCATTCAGGAACAAAGCATTTGACTCTCCCTGCGTTCCATTTGGAAGGGCTCATCCCTATGCCCTAATCCCTTCAAAGAGTTTACCCTCCGGAGTAGCTTCGAAAGGTTGAAAGGTGTAGGGGACCAAACAACTGTTTCTTGAAGTGCCCTTCTGCATCATCATCACATGCCCACACGGAGGCGCCGTCATGATGCAAAGAATCTGCGCAAAGGATCATGGGAGCCCGAAGTGTCCATCAGTTGTACCCTTCGAAATCCTTCATTCCGAAGGGCCCTTTAAAGTGTCCAGTTTTGAGCACTTCGGTTTGGAACGACCCTTCAATATGGCGGCCATGATTGTTTTCACTCCGAAGTGCCCTTCGGAGGGTGATATATCCCGTTTGGAATGCACCGTGTGTTAATGAGTGAATCACTGAATCATTTATTCAACCGATTCGTTCAAAAAGCCGATTCATTCAATAAGTAAACAGCATCCTTTGCTCAGAGACGCAAAACAGTGCTGTGATCTTTGTTTGGAACTATTTTTGTTGGCAAAATTGAGCAAAAACAAGCAATATTATGTCTAAAACGCAAGTCACTTATTGCTAACTTTACTGAACTTGTATAAAATGATTATTAAATTTGTTATCATGCTGATATCTGCAGAAAAACGGAACTCTTTGTGTGATATAGATTAAGTTAACTATATTAAATTATATAAATATAAAAAGCATACAGAAGCATTTTTGCCGTCTACAATTTAGAATGCCTTGAATTTTGAGTTTTAATAGACTAATAAATCACGTGCATGCACTCTGTCTCTGTTTGTGTGATTTGGTGATATACTCGATAATGTCAGATCGCACATCATTACAACAACACTTACCATATTATCATCGCAGAAGATACACTGTATATCACACACCCCAGACTCAACTTGAGTGGAAAATGAAATCATCTGCGGTTGTGCGCTGTGTTTTTAGGAGTCTAACTTGCAGACGCCAGACCACTGATTCGTAAACCTGTTTTCCTGCAGTCCGTGTTCTTCTGACTATTTTGTAGTAACGAATATGCTTCGGGGAAATGAATCGGAGTAAAAGTATACATTTTAATTAGGAAATGTAGTGGAGTAAAAGTAAAAGTTGGCTGAAATATAAAAACTCAAGTAAAGTACTAATACTCCCACAAAAATATTTAATTCCTGTAACGAAGTATTACTTCTTGGGTATCTCCAGGAAACATTATCCTGTGGTTTTATGTTAAAGAAAGTGTTAGTAATGACCTGACCTTGGTGGCAGCAGAACTCAAGTAGGCGTTTCCCACTTTTGTTCATCCTGCCAACACCACACTTTCCCAAGCAAGTTGCTCAGGAATTGTGGTCAGTGCCCACTCTAGCATTAAAGTTACCATGCAAAAACTGTGGCTGATTTGATGGGACACTATTGACGATGTTGAGAACATCATACAACTTCTCGATTAGTTTTTTAACCCTTGTTCCATGAAGGAAGCAACAGAGATGTTACATTTACATACTGATGTATGGGGTGTCACTTTGGAGTAGTAAAAAACAGGCCAATGAATATGTACGAGTGCCAAGCCACTTCTTTGTTCAAGCAGTCTGCAGTTTAAACAAAATCTCCAGTGATAGGGTTTCCATTTACTCAAGGTGAATGAATGAGTGTTTACTATGACAACCACTAGGCTCTGAAGCAAAAATCGGAATGAGTGGATACATGCTACCGCCTTATAAACCCGTGTGTATAGAGGAGTGGCTAGGCTTGCAAATTCCACTCGCCAATGTTCAGTGGTCTGTTTTTTAAATGATTGGGGCTCCCAAGTGAGACCTATTCATTAGTATGTTGATGTAACACAGAATGTGACAGCTGAAACAAAGGACAAGTTCTCTTTCAGTCAGTGTAAGTCAGGGTTGGTTGCTAAGCACTGATAATGCTGACTTATCATGCTGTAGTGTAGAGCTGCATTGAAAGGATTTATTCAGATCCCAAATTTGGAGGAACAATACTTCCCAGCAGGTTGTTCCTGATTGCAAAGCCTACAGCATGTTCTCTTTGATCTAATTCTGACTTGCCCTGAAAAAAGGTGAAATCTTACAGCAGTCCCACTGGACAGTCACTGGCTGAACAATTAAAAAACATGCAGCCCATTTCACAGGTTGGTACATGAAAAAGAAATCGCACCGATCTTTTATTTTTTTGTATATACTTGGTTATACACTGCAATTTGGTTATCAATATTGCAATGTCAGATATAGCCATTTATTGCAAGTTGTTAAATTCTTTTTTTTTTACAGATTAACAACATAGACGTGCAAAGAGAATGCATCCTCAAATCGTGTGTATGCTTGAATGAGGACCATATACAGCTGTTCCAAGGAGTACAATGTAAGCAAATGCTTCTCTCTTTCACCATCTAGTTCACTTTCATCTATTTCCTGTACTGCATCAAATATTAGATGTCATACAAATGCAGCATATTTTGTATGTTTTGCACAGGATTGTGATTGGTTGATTGCCAAAGAAGCCATGAAGCAGACAGTAATTGGGATCTGCACTGTTCGACATGAAGGACATGACCCAGTGGATCAGAAGGGGTTGACGTTCTCATTTCTTTGAGGAATGCAGCCGTGGCAGTGGCCATGTTATTCAGACTCATTTATGCCTTTAACCTTAGCTACCCATGAGGACTCAAATCTATATTTGAGATCATCCAGAAAATGTTCTTCAGCCTGGAAGGATGCAGACTTTCATCAAATGTGCATGCCCTGAAGAACAAGATGCTGGAGTATGTTGATCCTGTTCTATCTTGTTCTAAGCTTAACACTGAGCAGATTTTTTTCAATTTGACAAAGTATCTTTTTATTGTAATATCAATATTGTTAGTCCTCTTTTTTGTATTTTGCATTGTAGTTTGTTTCTTTGTATTACTTAAATGTCAACCTAGCTGAAACTTTAAAAATACTATTGTGGTTTATTTAAACTTTTGAAAACAGCTCAGCACTGAACAGTAGTTGTCTTTTTCTTTTGAAATTGGAATAAAGAAAGACTTCAGAGCATTTTATTTATTTGTACATTAAAATACATGTATCAGTAATTATAAGCTGGTTAAAGTAAATAAAGTTGTTCAGTTAAAACATTTCTGGTTGTTAAGTGGTTAAAATTAATTGGCACAACAAGAGTAAGTTGTGTACAAGTTAAAACCGCAAGATAATTCAAACAAACATGATTTGATCTCATTGGTTGAAGATGAATTTCGCTCTTTGGTTCTATTTACCTAGATTAAGTTCAGATAACATGATTCAAATGCATGGAAATGGGTTTAATAATTAAATTAAGTTGCACCAACGATTAATTTTTTTGAGTATACAAGACTTTTAAAGGGGTCATCGGATGCACAAGTTGATATGATTAATGAACAGTCTATAACATACTTTCAGTGTTTCCCATCCATTGATTTATTTGTGAAGGAAACCGACTGTCTTCAGAAAATTTTGGATGTCATTTTTATTTTTATTTTGCAAGTAATGTCTGATAAAGCAGCATTTGTGAGCGGAGCATTGCTTTGTATACAGCCGTTACCGGAGAAACATTTATTTCTCCCGCTCTAAGTGCCTCCTGCTGGCAGAGAATGAATTTGCATATATATGCCGCCACAAGTAAAGTGTTAGTCTGTGGGAAACACTGTACTTTGGTTAAAATTTCTCAATGGTAGTGTAAAACAACACCCTTTTTACCTAGCCAAAAACAGCTCTGCACACAGCAACCCATTTTAGTGCATGTTTCTTTAAATGCTAATGAGCTCTGCTGACCCCTCCCCTCTCTTCCATGGGGTGATGAGCAATTCTCATGAGACTAGGCAGATCCCAAATCGCGTACTTATGCACTATTCTATGACGTTTTTTAGTATGAATAGAGCGAGTAGTACGTTCACACTGAAAATTCCAAAAAGAAAAAGTGCACTTTACCCGGATGATGCACTTAAAGGGGTCCTATTATGCTCTTTTACAAAGTCTTGATTTTGTTTTGGGGGTGTACTAGAACATGCTCTCATGCTTGGTGGTTCGAAAAACGCATTATTTTTCACATAATTTACATTATTAAAATACCTTTCTCCCCAGGCTGGCACAAACGGCTTGGTTAGTTCCAGCTTTGATGAAGGTCCGCCTTCCGAAAAACAAAATGTGTTGTGATTGGTTAGCTGTCCCAGTGCGTTGTGATTGGCGAACAGC